CTACAGTTTACCATCCAAGTCTTCCCCTAGAAGTTGCAACCCTTCAACAGTCTTCAGTGTTTCAAAATAGTTGCATCGGGCAGGTTCTGCCAGTGCAGTTTTCTAGGTGGGGAGACAGAGTCCTCTTGCTGCCTACTCTGCCATCTTCCCATAATCCCCCAATTTTTATTTCTAGCAAGTTCTCAGGTGATGCTGCTGCTGCTGCTGCTCATCCGAAGACCATACTTTGAGAATGACTAAAATAACTCGTTTTTTTTTTGTTGTTGTTTTTTGGTTGTTGTTGGGTTTTTTTGTTTGTTTTTTGTTTTTAGATAGAGTGGGGGGAGGGAAACGGGGAGAGAGAGAGAGACAGAGAGACACATCGACTGGTTGCCACCTGCAACCAAAGGTACATGCCCTTGACCGGGAATCAAACCTGCAGCTCTGGTCTGCAGGCTGACACTCTACCTGCCAAGCCAAACCGGCCTGAACTAACAACCTCTTTAAGGTTCTTTCTTTAGGCCCTAATATGCCAGGCAGGCCTGGCCAGTTTGGCTCAGTGGTTAGAGCATCGGCCCTCAGACCGAAGGGTCAGGGGTTCAGTTCTTGGTTAAGGGCATCTACCTGGGTTGCAGGTTTGAACCCCGGCCATAGTGGGGGTCGTTGTGTGGGAGGCAGCCAATCGATGTGTCTCTCTCACATCAGTGTTTCTCTCCCTCCCTCACTCCCACTCTAGCTAAAAATCAATGGGAAAATATCCTCAGATGAGGATTAATTTAAAAAAAAAAAAAAAGTAAAGCTATAAAACTCTTAGAAGAACCCAGCCTGTGCGGCTCAGTGGTTGAGCGCCAGTCTGTGCACCAAGAGGTCGCCGGTTCCATTCCTGGTCAGGGCACATTTTTTTTTTAAATGCCATGCAGAGTCTTTCTCCTCTGGATGCTGTGTAGTAAATTGTGCTATTTAATTGCAATAAGCAACAAGCATTTTATTGATGTAAGTGAGTTTTCTTCCTTTCTGAAAAAGATAGGACCTGTGGTCTGCCAGTTGTGCCAGGGCAGGGAGCTTTGGAAGCCCTGCGGGGGACAGAGAGGCATGTGTTGAGGTAAATAACATCATTCAAACATGAGGCTGATCACTTCTCTTTCCTGTCTATAAACTCAGGTGATAGACAAGGCCTGCTCTGAAGGCTGCTTTTAGTAGGTGGTCTGTGTGTATCATCTAGCATGTGTCTGGCACGTGGTCTTTTTTTTTTTTAATCTTCATTGTTGAAGGTAAAATGTATTACAGATATTCCACATTTTTTCCCCCATTGACCCCCTCCTCCCCACTCCCGCCCCCCTCCCGCCTTTTCTCACACTATTGTCTGTGTCCATTGGTTATGCATATAAGTTCTTTGGTTTATTTCTTCCCACCCCCCAACCCCTTTCCCTTTGAGGTTTGTCAGTCTAGCAATGAATTTGTACTTAATCCCTTCACCTTTTTCACCCATCCCCCAACCCCCTCCCATCTGGCAACCAACAAAATGTTCTCTGTATCTATGAGAATGTTTCTGTTCTACCTGTTCATTTTGTTTGTAGATTCCATTGTTGATAGATATGTATTCATTGCCATTTTGTTTGTTCATATATTTTATCTTTTTCTTCAAAAAGACCCTTTATCATTTCATATAATAACGGTTTGGTGGTGATGAACTCCTTTAACTTTTTCTTGTCTGGGAAAGTCTTTATATGGCCATCGATTTTAAATGACAGCTTTGCAGGATAGAGTAATCTTGGTTGTAGGTTCTTGCTTTTCATCACTCTGAATATTTCTTGCCACTCCCTTCTGGCCTGCAAAGTTTCTTTTGAGAAATCAGCTGACAGCCTTATGGGAGCTCCCTTGTAGGTAACTAGCTACCTTTCTCTTGCTGCTTTTAAGTTTCTCTCTTTGTCTTGAACCTTTTGCATTTTGATGATGATGTGTCTTGGTGTGGGCCTCTTGGGGTTCATCTTGTCTGGGACTCTGTGCTTCCTGGACTTGTATGTCTGTTTCCTTCACCAAGTTAGGGGAGTTTTCTGCCATTATTGTTTCAAATAGGTTTTCGATTTCTTGTTCTCTCTTCTCCTTCTGGCACCCCCAAGATGTGAATGTTGGCACGCTGGAAGTTGTCCCAGAGGCTCCCTACACTATCCTCATTTTTTTGGATTCTTTTTTCTTTTTGCTGTTCTGATTGGGCGTTTTTTGCTTCCTTGTATTCCAAATCAATGGTTTGCTTCTTGGATTTACGTACTCTACTATTGAATCTGTGTAAATTATTCTTCATTTCAGTTAATGGCACATGGTCTTAGGTCACGTTTACTTAGCACTTTTGATGCAACCACTGTTCTAAGGCTGGGTTCACACATTTAATCCTCACAGCATCTCTGTTAAGTAGACTGTGTGATTAGGTCCATGTTACCAGGTTGAGGAAACAAAGGGTAGGAATTTGGCCAAGAACACAAAGATAGAGGGTGGCGGGGTCTCTTACCAGGGAATTATTTAGGTTCCAGAGCCCACAGCTTATAACCTTATTCAGCTGTGCCACAGATACTAGGTTCTTTCTTGTACTAATGTTTGACTGCAAGTTACAAAACTAAACTAAAAAGTGTTGTTGTTTTCATTGTCCTCTCCCTAGGAAGTCTGGAGATGGAGTGGTTCTGAGGTTGGTTAGTTTAGTGCTCAACGTTGTCACAGGGGATTCAGGTTCTCTCTGTCCTCACTTCAGCCCTCAGCGCGTTGAGCTTTGTATTTACAGCTGTCCCCTCGAGGTGTAAGACCGTTGCCCGAGATCTCCCTGTCTCATCACAGAAGCCGAGCATGAAGGTGGCTTGCTGCTGCCTCTTGTTTTTAAAACGGGCAAAACTTTCCCAGAAGCTCTTTCCCCTCAGAAGTGTTTATCACACCCATTCCTAAATGGCCGCCACTGCCCAGGGTGGGGAGGCCTGGAACACAAGTCCTGTGCAAAGCAGCCGTTCAGGCTCCTTGGGTCAGAAGGGGTGGAGCAGGGCTGGTTGTGGGAGGCCACTGACCAATCAGCCACACTCGCTCCCCTGGTGGGTGGTGAGTCCTTTTGTTCTGAAGGTGCCCCATGGCCCTGACAAAAGTAAATGAAGCCCTAGCCAGTGTGGCTCAGTGGTTAGAGTGTCCACCACACACCAAAGGGTTGCAGGTTCGAATCCTGGTCAAGGGCACAGACCTGGGTTGCACATTCAATCCCTGGCCCCGGTTGGGGTGCATGAGGGAGGCAACCATCATTGTTTCTCCCTCTCTTCCTCCTTCCCTTCCACTCTCTCTATACATCAGTAGAAAAATATTCTTGGGTGAGGATTAACAAAAATAATAATAAAAATAAATGAAGTCTAGGGCTACCCAAAATGCTGCCGGCCATCCTTGTCCTTGATTTACTCCAGGCCGAGTAAACCTGGCAAGGGCGTGAGGGCACATGCACCCAGAAGGATGTTTGCTTCCAAGAGGAAGCGACATTCTGCAAGGTCTTGTCTTACAGGCCCTATTCCTGCCCCATTTGTCTCTGGAGGAATCCTGGGGGTCAGCCCAGACCAGCTCTGATATGGAGCAGGCTCCTAGCACCTCCTCTGTAGAGAGAAGGGTGGTACCAGGGTAGTTACGTGGACCCGATGAGTTGGTCCGTGTCAGTGGCGTATAGCGCCTAATGTGTGGTGAGCATTCCGGCTGCATTAGTGGGATTTACCTTCAGCGTCAGCATTGGGGAGCTTTATTCAGCTCCCTGTTGTCCTGCTCCTGCCACAGTGGGTTGCAGGCCTGCAAGCTACACTGACCCCAGCTAGGCTGCCTTCCAGCGCCTGTCTTTGTGTGGGAAGAGGAAGAGGTACTTTTAGTCACTTTGCCCGGGGAGGGTATGGGTGTGTGGGGAGCCTTTATTTTCCACAGTGGAACTGCTTGGGGGCCGCTTTTATTATATTTTTCCTAGAATCAGGAACAAGTACCTCTATCTTCCAGGTAGCCTTACCTGGGTATGCCTTGGCCATCCTGCCTCAGTGGGCCAGTGTGTTTGACTTTTACAAATAGGATTTTTGATGATGGGATACATTTCTGGTGCCGACAGGAGTGCATGCTCACAGCAGCCACTTCAGAAGGATGATGGAGAAGTGCCCCACTTTAAGAAAACCTGACCATATAAGGAGGAGATCGCAGTTACAGAATAATGTCTCACTCGGCCAGCAATTCATGGCAGGTTTCCTAGTGCATTTAAAATAGGATTTGTGTGTAAAAATACCATTTGCTCAGAGGAGCCCATATTTTCTGAAAAGGGAAATATACTTGTATCGGGCATTGGGATAAGTAGAATAAAAATAAAATCTTACAAATACAAGAACTGGAAACCAAATTCTACTTTTAATTCTAAAAGGTTTATATATAACTTTACTATCTTACCGTCTCATTCTACCCAAGACTTCCACAGCAGAAATAAACAGGCGAGATCTGCACACAGTTCAAGAGAGCAAACGGCTGGGTGGACCACAGGAGCACAGAGGTGGGGCCTCATGCCCCACCCTCACCCACTGTGTTCCGTTTGGTTTATTTGTGAGCATTTGTGAGACCTGCCCTAAATCGTTACTGCTGGTTCTCCTCCATGTGTGGGCAGTGAATAGCAGTTAGAAATTGACCCACTTGCCCTGGCCGGTGCGGTTCATTTGGTTGAGTGTCGTCCCGTGCACTAAAAGGTCACTGGTTCAAATCCCTGTCAGGGCACATGCTCAGGTTGCAGGTTTGGTCCCTGCAAACCTGCAACCAGTCGATGTTGCAGGTATGGGAGGCAACTAGTCGATGTTTCTTTCTCTCTCTCTCAAATCAACAAAAACTTTTCTTTTTTTTTTTTAAAGAAATTTTCCCACTCATCCTGCTACCACAGACTCCTGTAACCACAGGGACATGTGCTGATGTCTGACCAGTGGGGTTTGGGGACAGCCTGGAGGAAAGGGCTGAATCTGGGATGCTGACATGTCTGACTGCTCTCCTTTCAGAAATGTTCCCACTGCCAGGAGGCAGGCGCCACCTTGGGCTGCTACAACAAAGGCTGCTCCTTCCGCTACCATTACCCGTGTGCCATTGATGCAGGTAAGGGGGGGGGGGGTTCTCTGCTTCTTTCCCTTCATTATAGTTCTTTTGTCTCTTCTGACTCTATTCTATTTGTAAATCCTAAAGGAATGCAGAGGGGAATGAAATGCAGTAATTTTTTTAAGATAACAGCTTTATTCATATAATTCACACATGATTCACTTATTTAAGTGTATACCTCAGTGGTTTTTAGTATACTCACAGATATGTGCAGCCATCACCCCAGTCAGTTTTAGGACATTTTGTCACCTCAGAAAGAAACCCTGTATTCCTTAGCTGTCAACTTTCATCCCTTCTAACACCCCTGAGCAACTGCTGATCCACTGTCTGTCTCTGGCTCGGCCTGTCCTGCACATTTCACATCAGTGGAATCAGGTGATGTGTCTTTGTGTCTGGCTTCTTTCTGTCCCTGAGCATAATGTTTCTCAGGTTCGTCCATGTTGTAGCAGGTATCAGCGCTTCATCTTTATTGCCAAATAATATTTTATTATAAAGACATACCTTTTTATTTATTTATCATTCACCACTCGATGCACATTTAGGTTGTTTCCACTTTTTGATTATTACAAACAATGCTGCTATGAATGTTCGCACGCAGGTCTTTGTCAGACTTACTGGTTTTGTTCTCGGGGGCGAAAGCCTAGGAGTGGAATTACTGGGTCATATGGTAACTGTATGTTGAACCTTTTGAGGACCCGCCAGACTATTTTTCAAGTGGCTGCACCATTTTACATTTTCTCCAGCAGTGCGTGAAGGTTGTAGTTTCTCCGCGTCCTCACCGACACTTGTCAGGTCTTCTAACTGTAACCATCCCAGTGGGTATGAAGTGGTGTCCTGTGAGGTGGGTTTGCATTTCCTTGATGGCTCATGATATTGAATGTCTTTGGTGAAGTCCAGTTTATCTGTTTTTTTCTTTTGTTACTTGTTGCATTTTTTTATATCTAAGAAACCATTGCATAATCCAAATCACAAAGATGTTTTCTCCTGCAAGCTATATAATTTTAGCCCTTACACAGGTCCTTGATCCACACCTTGAGTTAATTTTTATACATGGTGTGAAGCAAGAGTCCCGTTTGCTTTTTTGCACATGGATTCCAGTTGCCCCAGCACCATTTGTAGAAAAGACTAATCTTTCCTCATTCAGTGATCTTGGCATCTTTGTTGAAAACCAATTGACCATAGCTGTATGTGCTTATTTCTGGACTCTCCAGTACACACTGTCTTGATTACTGTAGCTTTGTAATACTTTTTGAAATTGAGAAGTGTGAGTCCTCTGATTTTGTTCCTTTTATTTAAGATTGTTTTGGGCTTCAGTGGATGAGCATCATCCCATACACCAAGGGATCACCTGTTTCGATTCCTGATCAGTACACATGCCCAGGTTGCAGGCTTGATCCCCAGTAGAGGGCATGTGGGGGGCAGCCGATCAATGTTTCTCTCTCATCAGTGTTTCTATCTCTCACTCTCCCTCTCTCTAAAAAATCAATAAAAACATATTTTTTAAAAAACAGACAGTTTGGGCTATTCAGGGTCCTTTGCTGTTCCATATGAATTTTAAGATTAACTTGTTAATTTCTATAAAGAATAACCACTGAGATTTATAAGGCTTGCATTAATCTGCTGATCAATTAGGGAGTATTGACATCTTAACAATAGTCTGTCTTCTTACCTGTGCTCATGGGCTGTCTTTCAATGTATTTCAGTTTTTCAATGTGTTGTAGTTTTCAGAGTATAAGATTTTCATTCTTTTGTTAAATTTATTTCTTAAGTTTTTTATTTTTATGTTGGGTGCTATTGTAAATGGAATGTTTTTATTATTTAGTTTTCAGATTTTTCATTGTGAGTATATAGAAATATAGTTAATTTTGTTATTGATCTTACATCCTGCAACTTTGCTCAGCTCATTGATTTAGTATAATAGTTTTTTAGTGGGTTTCTATATGCAAGTTGTCATCTGTAAATAGTTTTATGTCTTTCTTTCCAATCAGGTGCCTTCCTTTTCTTCCCTTGTTGCCCTGGCCAGAACTTGTAGTGTAATGTTGGATAGAAGTGGCAAAAGCTGACCTTGTTTTGTTTCTGACCCACTGACTAAGATGATGGCTGTGGGTTTTTCATAGATATTCTTGAGCAGCTCAGGAAGCTCCCTTCTGTTTCTAGTTTGTAGATGTTTGTATCATAAAACGGTGCTGCATTTTGCCAGACATTTTTTCCAGGTCCACTGAGGTGAGCAGAGCAGTGTTTGGCCGTATGATAACTGTTGAAAGAAGAAAACCTTTTGTCTGAGAAGTGCTGTCCAGTGATTGATGCAGAAGACTGGAGTTCTGACTCAGCTTGAGCAGCCTGGGAAAATCCTTCCTCCTCTAAACTCTTATCTCTTCATTGGGTGTTCTCACCAGTTGCTTTGTGAGCATCAGATGTGTCTGAGCCCTTCACCAGCTGGCCCTCATCTGGTGCTGCAGTCGGACAAGGAGAGGGAGTGGAGAGAGGAAGTGCAGCAGGTGGCGTGGTGCTGTGGGGAACCCACTTCCCATGGGAGCAGCTGTGTGTCTCTGGGAGTCGGATTTGGCGTGGAGTCGGCGGGGAGAGGGCAGGGCTGGCTGGGCGATAGAAGCAGGTACAGAGGCATAGAGCACACGGGTCCCACAGGCGTGGAGAGAATCTGAGTTCATCTCGACCCCCTTCCCTCTAGTGCAGTTACATGCCTGACGTTTCCTTAAGCACCTGCCTTTCACACCCTTCTCTACCCTCCTTCCCTTCCTCTCTCTTCTTTCCAAGTTTCTTAAGGAGCAGCAGCTAAAAAAGACAAGAAAGGTACAGAAAGATAATGCTTATGCCAATGTTACATTCTCATGAAAGTGTGTATTTGCCTGTGCTGTGAGGGGCCAGGACACCTTAAAACGTCAGTCCTGGGAGCGTGGGTTTTAGTGGGTCCTTGTTCCCTGTTGAGTCTGAGCTGTGTTCCCCCAGGGTACAGTCTGGCATAGTCTGCGGAACAGCCGGGAAGTCCTGCTCACTCGAGAGCCGACCGTTGCCTTTTCTCATTTGCACATTGCCCCGGCATCAGAATGTTTCATTTTCTACTTTAAGCTTTGTGGTTTTTATATTTATTTTTTGCTTTGTTTTGTTTTTTAGACAGAGAGAGGGGTAGAAACATCAGTATGAGAAAGAAACATCGATCGGCCGCCTCCTACATGCCTCCACTAGGGATCGAACCCGAAACCCGGGCATGTGCCCTAACTGGGAATCGAACCAGGACATCTCAGTCCATGGGACGATGCTCAATCCACTGAGCCACAGCGGCCGGGCAAGCTTTGTGGGGCTTTTTTGTTTTGTTTTGTGTTTTTTATTGATTTCTGAGAGAGAGAGGAAGGGAGAGAGAGCTAAAAACATCGATGTGAGAAAAATATCAATCAGCTGCCTCCTGCATGCCCCCACTGGAGATTGAGCCCAAAACCCGGGCATGGGCCCCGACCAGGAATCGAACCTCTCAGTCCATGGGACAGCACTCAATCCTCTGAGCCACCCTGGCCGGGCAAGCTTTGTAGCTTTTAAGTGAAGATTCTTAAGTATTAGTTTGGGGGTCTGGGTTTTACGTGGGGGATGCTGTAAGAGTTGGCTCTCCCACTCAGTGGCGGGGTCAGAGTCTTCTCCTGCCCTGAGGCTCTGCTCAGACCCCTGAGGTGGGTGCAGGCCGGTCACCTCATGCCCCAGGATGCACTCCTGTCTGCACACTGGGGCTCTCAGCCTGCCTCCTGGGCGTTCCTCAAGGGATTGAGCAGCTGCTCAGCAGAACTTCCTGCGATGCCAGATGTTCTGGACCTGTACGCTCCAGTATAGTAGCCACAGCGCAGGAGACCACTGAGCACCGAAATGTGGCTCATGGGAATAGAGGTGGACTTAGTTTATTTTATTTAAACTGAAGTGTACATGGCCACTCGTGGCTGGCAGCTAGACAGCCCTTGGCTGGAAGCCACCTTGGTCGAGCTCAGGGGTGGGGTTAGGGTGCAGGGCTTTTCTCCTCCCCAGTGAGGCTACTTTGCCAGCTTAGGGTTAGTGAGCAAATGGCATTTGTCCCTCTCTCTGAGCCTGTCCTGTGTGGCCTGCTCAGATAAGTAGGTAGCATCTCTGTTTAGCAGAAGTTGGTGGCCGAGTACCCAGTGAGAAGGAGGCTGCCTGGGTCGGCGGGGCCTTGGCCCCCTGGCTTTTCTGGCCTCGCTGCTGCAGTTTTGCAAGGTATCACGTCTTGGGCATTTATGGGTCTTTAATGACCTGAGTCACAGTGACCCAGAGGCCTGTGCTGCCCTGGGAGGCAGGTTGCAAGTCCCAGGTCTGAGAGTCCCTTATCTCTATACAGAGTGAGGGAAAGTTGGACATTTTCACCTCTTCCTTGCAGCCCACTGCCCAGACCTTTCAGAGCTATTGATGCCTCGGGGGAAGTTTGATTGCTGGGGCCAACATCTCCGTGGAAACCGAATCTGTGCCCTGCAGCTCCATGGCTCCTGCAGCTTCCCGCCCCATACATTTGTGACATCGTGGTTAGCTGTTTTGTGTGGCTGTTATGTCACTGGCACCAGATTTGGCTCCAGGTGGGAAATTCAGTAAGAAGAACATGAGTACTGGTTTTGAAAAAACAAAGATTTAATGTATTTAATGCAATGAGCCACACCAATTAAGGCCAAAGGAAAAAAGCGCTGTGCCGGCTCATTAATAATTCCACCGAGCATAAAGAACCTTCCCTGGAGGGGACTCTCCTCCATCCTCCAACCCTCACGAAGACGCACAGCTGGGAAGGTCACTGCAGCCCCAACGCTGCTCTCTCTGCTTGCAGACTGGGATCTTGCAGCCAGGGTTCAGCCCTGCGTGTCCGCCCCTCCCTGGAGAGATCACTCAGCATCACAGAGAGCGGTTCTGGGGCCTTCCTTGCTCCTGCCTGTTACTCCCCTCAGTAAGGCAGGGTGAGGCCGATGGTCCCAGCCTGGATTCTGTCCAGATACGAACTAACGGTAGCTCTGAGGTCAGTTGTAGCTGAGCTGGAGACAGTGTCTGGGGCCTGGCAGATGCAGAGCATGTTCATCAGACCTCCCGCCTTGGGCTCACCATCCTCAGCCTGGGGTCTGCATGGGTGCGTGTGGGAGTCCACTAGGCCTGGTAGGAGGAGCCCCACAAAGGAGCTCTGTGTGTGAGCTCAGAGAGAAGCGAGCTGTCCTTTCTGGGCTGCTGAGATCAGCCTGTCTGGAAGCCATTTTGTTGACCGGACAACCTTGAGTCTTTTCCAGCTCCTATGATGACCAGCGAGCCATTTGCTTTTACTTCCCTGTGAAAGTGCTGACAAGGCCCCTGCCCGGTCAGTGTAGGGCACTGCCAGGGCCTTCAGGAAACGGGCTGAGAGACCCGCTGCCTGGCTGCGGGCCCAGGCGCCTGTGCACAGGTCTCTGGAGAGGTTTACTACCCTTCTTGCCATTCTTGACTTGCCTCTGAGCAGGGACAGGTCCCCCTGCTGTACAGAGGTCAGCTCTCCAGCCAGGGTCTCGCCCTGCCAGGAACGGGACTTGCACCTGCTGGTGGCCTGTGGGTCTGAGAGCAGACGAGAGCGCTTGTCTGAAGGGCTCCCACGTGGGGGCCTCGCCAAGGCGGACGCCGCCTCTGACAGATGTGTTTAGAAGACTCCGTTTCCACGAGTGCCTGACGTTAGCTCCAGGCTGCCTTTACTGTGTGCTTATGTTATTTCTTTTCTGCTTCTTACTGTGAAGGGAACACGTTTCCTAACCGGATGTATTTTACTAGTAGTTCATCACAGCTGCTCGTGGCTGCGGGGGGCTGAGGCCCCTCTTGCCTTTCTGGTGCACTTTTGCCAGGTGACATGGTCCCCTCGTCCTTTCTGAGAACCGCTGTGGCATACGGGTAGCAGCCCCACGTGGGCTCCGCTGTTTCTCCTTGGCCCAAACTGGAGACCGCCGGCAAGCAGCGCCCGGCCCAGGGAAGGAGGCGGCCCGGGAGCGCCGGTCCCCTCTGCCGCTTGGAAGCGCGCTCTCCGCACGTCGCGTGGCAGGAGCCCGGTCGTGCATGTACTTGTGGGTTTTAGATCACACGCTTCATTTGCTGCCCTGCTCCGGGAAGGGCGCAGGCCTGCTGAGCCCGGCGTTCACCTCGTAGATATTCCAGGTTCTGGAAGGGGGTAGGGATGGTGCAGGCCTAAGCCAAATTATGAAAGGACCTTTTTATTTGTTTGGCATAAAAGGACCTCAGATTTTTTCATTTGTGTGTTCCCTTGCTTTTTCACTTGAAATCTGTGGGTACTCAGGCTGCTAACCTGGGCCTTCGTTTAAACCTGAGTTAAATTGCAAATTTAACAAGGCTAAGGACCACGGCTGCCTCCCGCCATGGTGCCTGGGAGCAATCTGAGAATGTGCGATCGATATTTATTAGCATTCTGCCACCGCATCTTGCACCAGTGACCTGGTTGTCGGTCTCCGGGAGCTGTGGTGTGCAGCGTGGACTCGTTAATGAGGTGTCCTCGCTGTGCCTCGCACCACTCTTGCGCTCAGAGCTCGGCTCACCTGGAGGCTGTCATTGAGGAGGCTGTCACCGGGCTACAAGTTGGAATGGATCATTTTTCTCAAAGGACTAATGGCCCTTCTCGGGGTTCTCTCCTCTGAAGCATTTAGTGTGGATGACGTAGCTCATGTGGGACTTCTCCCTGTCTCTGTGGGCTGTGGGGCGAACGGGACAGCGGGCTCTCAGGCCTGTCCTCCTCCTTGTCTCTGACATGTAGCTCTTGACGGGAACCGATGCCTGCAGACTCAGTGTTGTCACCAGGAAGCTTTGACTGGGGCCTGGGAGGTGGGCTTAGCCTAGAACCAGGGATTTTAAAAACAACATTTACTGGAGATTGTTTTTGATTATTAAAACAATATTATAGCCTGGCCTGTATGACTCAGTAGATTGAGTGTTGTCCCATGGACCCAGAGGTCCCGGTTTGATTCCCAGTCAGGGAACGTGCCCGGCTTGCAGGCTCGATCGCCAGTAGGGGGCGTGCAGGAGGCAGCCGATGAATGTTTTTCTCTCACATCAGTGTTTCTATCTTTGTCTCCCTTCCTCTTTCTCTAAAAAATCAATAAAAACATATTTTATATATATATATATCATGATGGAAATACAGAAGAAATTAAATCACCTATAATCTTTCCACCCAGAGAGAACCACTGTTATAATTTGGGAGATTTCCTGTGTCCTCTGATACAGAGTAGGACTGTGCTCACACATCTGTGTACCCTGGTTTCCCGGCGAGTTTGCATCATGTTTCCCATATACATTCACTCTTTGGAAATGTTGATTTTAACTGCTATTTCATCATGTTGTGCTACCGTATTTACTTGGGGTGTTTCTAATGTTTTCCTGTTAGAAATCACTGTGTGGGGACCTCCTGTCACCACCTCTGACCTGTCTGTCCTGGCCCCACTCCCACAGTTGACTGGCCCCTTCTGTCTTGCAGATTGTTTGCTGCATGAGGAGAACTTCTCGGTGAGGTGCCCCAAGCACAAGGTGAGTCAGAGCCCCAGAGCCACTCCCAGCAGGCGTCGGGTGGGGCTCCCCCTGGAAGGCCTTCGGCCACTGTAGGACCATGGCCACCTCGCCTCATCCTGGCCCTGGGAGACCTGTGGTGTGGGGTCAGCACCAGTGTGGCATGGGTTGCTGAGAGAAGTGTGTTGGAGAGAATTTTGTTAGTTATAAGAAATTAGAAAATCAAACTACTGGTTTCCACTTTAATTTAACAGAACCCCAGTTCGCAGGTTGGCATGGGGTACGGTTGGCCTTGATACATAAGCAAAGGCATTTGCCCAAACCGGGGAAATGGAGAGACTTTGTGGTTTGGAGTAAGAGCCTCTTCCAAGTTGTCTTTGGCGGAAGTGACAGGTGGCAGTCCAGGGGCTGCTGCTGCCTCGTTTCCCACTTGGGTCAAGAGGTGGTCTCTTGGTCGCCTCTTCCAGGAAAGGTTGGAAGACAAGGGAGTGATGGTCTGTTTCCGAGATTGTACATGCATGTGTGTGCGTGTGCATGTGTGTGAAGGAGCCCAGGAAAGACGTGCGTGTATGTGTGTGGAGAGGAGAGGGGATGGAGAAGGAGCCCAGGAAAGGTGTGTGTGTGTGTGCGCGTGTGTGTGTGTGTGTGTGTGTGTGTGTAGACACCACCACCTGGAACTTCCTGCAGGCACCGCGCTCTCTCTGGCTGGGGTCACACTGACACCTGGTGGTCACTGGCCTTGCACAGTTTCAGTCCCCAAGCAGGGCTGGGAAACACTAGAAAGAGGTCATCCTGACAGGTCTGCCCTCAAAGCATTCCTGAAACATGCTCACTTATGCTTTTCTCTAAAAATTATTTCCAGAGATGCATTATAGGATCTTATAGTACTCTATTTTTACTTGATCTACATGTTTTTACTTTTTAAACTTCCTTTTTATAATGGTCACATTTGCTTCAGAAAACCCTGTCTGATTATTTCCTGTTTGTCACTTGATACTGACTCTGCTTTTTCTTTCCTTTCCATGTGCTGTTCCTTTCCTGCCCTCTGCCCCCCGACCCCTCCCTCTGCCCCCGACCCACGCATTCCTCGGCCCGTCCTGCCGTCCCTCGGCCTTGCCCGCGGCAGCCTCCCCTCCCATGCCCTCTCCCCGCCTTGCAGAACAAGACAGCAAAAGGCAGCCTCAGCACAGAGCAGTCGGAGCGGGGGTGAGGGGGGCAGTGTGCCGTGGGAATGGAAAGTACAGCAAGCACAGGTGAGTCGGGCGTCGCCCCTGCCACACTCCAGTGGGGGTCGTGGCCTCTGCCCTTCTGCTCGCCAGGCCCGGCTGCAGCCAGCGTTTAATCCTGTGACCTCCAGCTCCAGGTGGAGAAAACGTTTCCATTTGTTGCTTAGGAAAAGCGGGTAGGGCTTTAAAACTGGCCCGTTGCCATGGGTTCGAGGTGACTGTCCTGAAATCAGGCCTGGTGTGTGGTGTCCCAGAATGCACCAGGCCCAGGACAGCCCCTGGGGTGCGGCCGCGGCCCCGCTGCTCCCCATCTCAGAGAGCTTCTAGCCAACGTCTCTTCTTTCTAATTATGACGTTACCTGTAAAGCTTATGGCAGGTTTTGCTTTGAAAAACCAAAATCCCCCAAGTTTTGTTATTAGACATCCTTTCTCCCATACTAGGGAGGATTCCTTTTCCACAGAAGTACAAAGAGAAGGAGATGCGCTGACAGGGCGGGTAGACCTTAGCATTGATTGAGTGTGGTCTGTGGGCAGGGCCGCGTGTCTGAGGCAGGATCCGGCCCCTCACCGCCAGGTGCTGGGCTGAGGCAGGTGGTCAGAGGCAGCGAGCGAGCGAGCAGGCACTCGCTGCTGCGGGGTGGGGTTGGGGCTATTGTCCAGGGGCCTGGAGAGGGGCCCAGCGGGGTGCTGGGCCTGGCCCTTTGGGGTGTCCCTCTGCTGCTTACAGCGGGTCTGCCTGTGTCAGGGCGACCGGAGAGTGACTGGGCACAGGCTTCGTGTCGGGACGGCACCCTCCCTTCCCAGGGCCTCACCGCTGCTCTGTTGGGGGCTGACAGTATGTTCTCGGTCCGTCGGGTGGGGATGGCGCAGTTTTCTCTCTTCCTCCCGGGGAGTGGGGGGAGCAGGACAGGACGGGGTTGGGTCCCAGGAAGCAGCCAGGCAAGTGGACCCGTGGTCATCGGCAGCGGCCACTGGGCACGGTCGTTCCCGCTGAGCAGCCCTCAGCAAGAAGCAGCCTGTCCTGCTTGGTGGTGGCACTGTCCCGGGCAGGGTCTGCCCCATCCTGTTCACGTCTCTGCTCAGCCCAGGTGGGCAGCGCTGCCCTCTCTGGGGACCACGATGACCATTCCTGGGGTTCCTGGCAGACCGGGGCAGGCACCGTTTGCCGTCGGGCCGTTTGTGTCGCCGTGGACTCCCGCTCCCGTGAGAGGCAGTCTGGGCCCGGGCCTCTCCTTGGAGTGCAGTTTTGTTCACCACGTCCTTCCACTGCGCCCACTCCTGGGCTCTGCCAGCTG